CACAACACACTCAGACTGCTGGGGGGGCTGACAACCCACCACGAGGATTTGCTTTCTCAAGCTACCTTCTTTTTTTTTTTAATATATTTTTTTTCTAGGATTTGGTTAGAAATGCCTTTTTCTTTTCTTCCTTTTTTTTTTTTTTTTTTTTTTTTTTTTTTTTTTTTTTGGTAATTTTATTACAGTATTAAAGTATTGCTTAGCTTACAGAATCTCCTCACGTAGTGTTCTCACGGGGTCGCCTGGATTCTGTACGTAGGAAACTCTACAGTGTCTGTGTGCAGACCAGGATCTGCCAGGTGTGTCTTCCATGCATCCTGTCTCTTCACCCTAACGCTAAACCTCACTTCTCCCTCTCTCTCTCTCAACTGTGCCGCTTTTAAAAAAACAAACCAAACCACTAAAAAAAAGAATTCAGAAGATTCCACCCAAGAGACATCGCCATAGCATAAAAGACAGCTATGAGTTAGTGTTGGTTTCTTTTTTTTTTTTGTTGTTTTTTTTTCCTTTTTCTTTTTTTGTTTTTTGTTTTTTTTATTTTTGTAAACAGTTTCATATGCAATATCATACAGAACCATGGCTGGCCTTCAGTAAAAATGTAGTAAACTATATTGCTTTATTATTGATTATGTTGCATTGAGTGAATGGCAGAAACGAAACAGGAAGGGACGTGTGGCTGGAGTCGCTAGCCCTCATTCACACTACAGATGAAAGCAGGGAAGAAAAGAAATCCCAACACCTTTCAGGTCGTTATCACCCACAATTACCCAATGGTTTAACTAAGCCTAGCAAGATGTGTGACATTCACCAGCAGACGCTGCTGTACAATGGAAAAAAAAAAATAAAAATCAACTTACAGCAAAGAGAGCCATGCTACCTTAAAGTCCAAGCTACAAATTGAACTCAAAATGAACATTTATGAAGTGTAAGAAAAAATAAAAACCCCAAAGGACAGATCGGGCTTCGCTTTAATCAAGCCGATCACGAAGGGTCCCAAGCACTTGTGGCTCCTGGGGAAGGTCCCTGGAGTTGGGGATGTGGCACCTTGGGGTGCCCAGGTCACCCAGCCTGGGGGAAACCCCTGGTGTTGGTGATGCCAGGGCTGGGATGTGGAGAGCAGAGGGCACCCCGTGCCTGGCAGTGCCCCAGGCCAGGCTGGACAGCGGGGCTGGCACTGGACGAGCTTTAGGGTCCCTTCAACCCAAACCAGCCCAGGATTCCACAATCGCCCCCCTGGGCTTGAGTAAGACAAAGGTGGAGCTGAGCCTTTGTGCTGAAAAATTTACAAAAAAAAACCCAAAAAAAACAAACCCCAAACGAACGAAGAAAAAAAGAAAGAAAGAAAGATAAAAAAAAAAATCCTTCAAAATTGATTTCTAGATGAGTGGGGGACTAACGTGAACCTTAGTCTAGGTAGCCACATCAAAACATCTTGGATTCCACGACATTTGTGCTATGGGCCACTGGGACTTCTCAAAAGGTATATAAACATCTAAAACATATTCACACAGATTAGCAATTTCTTCTGAGCATTCTTAAAAAATTTTTTTTTTTTTTTTTTTTTTTCTCTTAGTAAAATCGTTTTAATATACCGTGCCTCCCTCTTTTAAAAAATAAATTAAAAAAATCCAGTTTTGCATATCTAGCATTAGCATTTAAGGTAGTATGGCACATCCCCTTTCCAAAGTCAAGGGTGGGGATCTACAAATGCCTTAAGAGTTTGCCAGCATTTTTAACATTGTGAGACCTTTGGTTAGTTGAAACCGCATCAGATCAACAAAAGGAAAATAATAAACAAGAGGAAAAAAAAAAAAAAAAAGCACAGAAAGAAAAAAAAGAGAAGAAAAAAACAAAAATGGAAAACCTTCCCAAAATTATTAGCATTTTTTTTTTTTCTTAAATAAGAGAAAGTTCTATCCTTACTGGTCCTAAATCTGAATAACTACATCTAAATTTTTAACCTTAATTACGATACACCTACCAATATGTACTAGAAGAGGAAGAGAGAAAGAGGGGGGGGGGGGAAAAATTCACTACACTACCATCAGGACAGCACTCTTACAAGATAAGCCATTTTATACACTATTAACATACAACAATGATCAACAAAGAATATTCTATGAGGTGACAGGGAATGGAGAGGAAAACCAACTGGTAGTACAGTACATCATCAACATTGACAAAATAGCAATAAAAAATTCCCTGACAGCACACTGAATCGCAGGGAATTTGGTTCGTAGTAGTTTTTTTTTTTTTTTTTTTTTTTTTTTTTTTTTTCACCT